TTAATTAAACCCATTAAATTGTGAATTAGATGAAGGTTTACAAATCAGATGGTACTTTCTCATGCCACTCTTGATTCAACTCATCCACTAAGAGGCGGCTGGAAGTCATTGGATCACATAACTAGGGATGTGTTTGTGTGCAGAGAAAATTGAATGGATGTGAGAGGGAGGCTGGAAGGGAGGGAGGTCATTGAAAGGGGGCTAGAGGAATGCAACTAGCAAGTCAATAGGGAGTCAGAAGGCCTGGTTTAGGCCTGTCTCTAATGTGGTGATCTGGGGCAACTCCTTTAAACTCTGAGGGGCTATTTCCTCATCAGTGAAATGGGGACATTCGAATGAGGCCATATGCACAGAGCTCATTGTGGTGCAGGCTCAGGAGAGTAGCTGACCTTCTTGGGCATCTTGTCCCTCCTGCGAAATGGCCCCCACCCAGGGTCCCAGGATGGTGGAGAGTAAGGGGGAGTGGGGTTAGCCCTCCACTATCTCTCCCACTAGAAAAGTGAAGTTTGAAATTGAGAAACCAGGTTCAGGGCCCTGGAATTGGCAATCTCCCCACCGCCAGGTAGATAAGCTCAGGGTCTGTTGGGTGGAGAGAGAATGGTGACAGCCGTTACTCTGCAAGTGGCCCAGAAGTGGCCTCCCACCTACTTCTCCATTTGAGGGCCCTTGGGGGAGGAGGGGAGAGGAGAGGAGAGGAGAGGAGAGGAGGGGAGAGGAATCCAAACCTGCTCACCCTCTAGGCTCCCTGGTGCTCCCAGCCCTGGCAGGCCAGGCTTGGACAGGGAGAACAAATGCACACTGCCCAGCCAGGATGTCACAGAGTTGAGTCACCACCACCCTCTGCACACCCCATTGCCCCCCAGCTCTCGGCAGAGAGATCCACAGAAATCAGAGACTCAATGCTGCCTGCCTTTTCCCGGACTGTAGTGAATTTTGCTGGCACCTGGGCTGTTACATTTGTCTTTTCAATGTTCATTGTTGTTGAAAGTATACACAGCAAACCACACTGATTCAATAATTTCTGCGCGTTCAAGTCTGTAGCACAATGGATTCCATTCTTCAAGTTGTGCAACGCTTCTCACTCTGCCCTTTAGCCTTGTTCACTCCCCCATCGACGTGAGCTCCTGGACCCCTGAACTTCTGACCTAAATTTTGGAGTTGGTGTTGTCAGTTCGATCCCATGTAGATAATCCTTCGAAGGGGCACACTATTTCAGGCAAACATTCCTTTCCGAATCAATCCATTTAAAGAAGACTTCAGGGGAAGTTTTACTTGATGTTCTAGTGATGATCTTAGGGCAGCAATTTTGGGATCTATCCAGTCTCCATGATATCAAGAGGATTCTACAGAAGTTGGAAATTGGTTCTGCATAACCATCCTTTTGGACCAGATTAAAAGATCCCATTATGGTTATCCCAACAGGTAACATCTTGTTCTTCAGGTTTCATGGTCAAGAAGGCATGTGTTCATGGAATAATTAGGCACATGTTCATGTTCTCCTGTTTTTCCTGACTCTTCCTCTTCTGCTGCTACTCCAAGCAAATAGAGACCAATTATTGTACCTTGACTGCTTCCAAGCTATCGTACCCCAAGCACAACTCAACAAACTAGGATATAGAACTAACTCCCAGTGCTATTGAGTCAATTCAAACTCCTGGAGATACTACAGGACAGCATTGAAGTGCCCCATAGGGTTTCCAAGGTTGTAAGTCATTACAGAAGTAGTACTGCCATCCCTTCCCCCGACATCGGCTGGTGGATTGGAACCACCAACCTTTTTGTTAGTATTAGAGCACTTTACCTACTGCGCCAGCAGAGTTCCTTGGAGAAAAATGAGAAACACTAATGTGATATTAGGCCGCTTACCTGGGGTGTCATGTGAGACAATGGGCGAGCATAGTTTGATATTTGTCCCTCAAAAAATCTGAGTTTTCTTTCTATTCCATTTTTACAATACCTTATGCTTTAAATATTCTTTTTTCCTTGAACACTGCCTTTTTGTGGCTCTGTTATGTTTTTGTATCTGAGGCAGGTGCCTCCCTCCCTGCACCCTTGACTTGACTCAGGTGGTGGGAGAGGTCTGCAAAGAGATGGGGCTGAGCAGCTGGGAAAGTGGATCACACAGTGTTTTAAGGACTGCTTCTCATGCCAGCCACTGCCTTCTGTGAGCCCTGAGGACGTGCCTTGAAGATTAGGCAGAATGGCATGTGCTAGATCCATGATCTTCAACCAGAAACAATTTTGCCTCCCAGGGACATTTGGCCAGGTTCAGAATCCTTTTTCAGGGTCACGGCTCAGGGGACGTGCTCCTGACATCAGTGGGTTGAGACTAGGCTGCTGGGAAGCATCCTACCCATGCACAGGACAGAGTCCAAGGAGAAAGAATGACTTGATCCTAAAAGTCTTGATCTACAGCAAAAAGGAGAAAAAAAACCAACCCTTACATTTGTTATGCATTCAGGAGGCGGGGGAGAGAGGGGCGAGAAAGAAGGAATGTGGGAGGGATAGACAGAGGCCAAAAGAGAGGAGATCTTGGAGCTCAAAACATTTAGAATCCCCACCCCCCTTTCTGCTTGACCTTGGAAGGTCACTTTGTCTCTGCGAGTCCCCCTTTTGTCCTCTGTGAAGTGGGGACAATCCTGTTCTTTTGGAGATGAGGTGGAGGAGAAGACTCAGGGTTGTGGTGACGAAGCACCTGGTCCACGTAAGGGATCAGGAGGGTTGGGGCTCCTTACTGCTTCCTTTCTCACTGATCCCTCACTGATTCTCCACTTCGTTTCCGGGATGTGGACCAGTGGGAAGCTGCTCATGGAATTAAGGAGCATGGTTCTGACAGCAGCACGTTACAGGGAACTAGGATCAGTTGTGCCTGATAATACAAAAACACCCCAGGCCTTCTGGAACAAAGCAGGACATTCAGGTGCCAGAGGGCTGCAAGCCCCAGAAGGAGCTGGACCAGGGCTGAAGAGAGTGAGCAAATTTCTTGTTATCAGCTCCACTGCATGACCACAGCTTGGGGAAATCATAGGGACCGTTTTCCACTTCCCCAAATATCCAGTATAAAGGGTGTCTCTGGTGCACAGTAGGCTGAGGCCTTGAGGGGAGGTCTCAGACTCGGAGAGGGGTGAGTACATCCTGGCTACCCAGGGAGGAGGAATTCAGCACCTGGGAGGAAGGTGGGCATTGATGGAAAACACCGGAGGAGCACATTGACTGGATGGACGGAGCTCTCCGCCTGAGCCCGTGTGTCCCTCAGGGCATGGTCTGGGATGAGTGCTTTCTTGGGAGTAGAGGTGGAATTTCCAGGGCCAAGAGCTTTCCATCACCACGGCCTTTCCCTGGAGTTCCAGTTCAGGGGTCTGTTCAAGGGAAGAGGATAAAAAAAAAAACTTTCTCATTTGTCCCCGATCAATCAGTCAATCAATTAATTAAGCATACTTTTGCCTTTTCACTGTGTTCCAGGAAGCGTGCTTGGCACATAAGGACAATCCCCAAAGAGGCACGGTGGTATTTGTGTTTGCCACAAGACTGAGGAGCTATGAATTGCCCTCTGATTCTGCTGCTTCTCTTGTTGGGACCAATTTCTGCTCTTCATCTGAGTAAGTCCTCCCCATCTCACCTCATTCATCCTTTTCTTTTCTACTCCCACTTCAGGGCAGGGCCATAATCCCCCCTCAGCAGTTGACCCAAGCCCATTCCTGGTTAAATGTCTCCTGAACTCAGACCTGTGACCTGAAGTTTCTGTTCAGGACTGGGAATTTCTCCCACCTTCTTTCTCACAGACACATCCATCAAACACCCAATTGTGGTGTCAACCAGGTGCCAGGATTGCATAATACATTAGCAGTTGCAAATCAGTAGAAGTCTCCTCATCCAAGGCCAGAGGTGTCTTCGAGCCTGGGTGCCAAGTGGAGTCCCTAGGGTGGGGCCTTATGAGCTGTCCGAGGTCCTGGAATAAGCATGCCCTGGGCTTTGTGGTAAGTTTTACCTGCTGACTCTTTTCTCAGAGAATGATGTCCCCAACCTGGAAAATCCAGAGATGGTGGCAGACTTGAGCCAGGATCTGGAAGGCTCGGGGGAGCAGGAGGGAGAGTTGGCCCTCCCTGAGAAGGAGACTCCATCAGAGGGGGGGGAGTGTGAGACTTCTGAGAACGAAGAACTCCCTGAGGACGCTGAGCCCCTAGATTCCGACTCAGATGCCTTCGATGAGGACTTGGAATGCCCCAAAGAAGAAGACACAGCGCTAGTACAGGGAAGCTCTGAGTGCAAAACTTGTCACTTCCGGTTGGTGAAGACTCCCAAGACATTTAGACAAGCTCGGGTAAGTGGCCGCGAGGCTACCTCGGAGTATCTGGGGGAAGAGAAGGAAGTGAATTGAACTGTCTGCTGCCTGTTCACCTGAAAACCAGCTCGCTGCCATCCGGTTGATTCTGACTTATAGTGACCCTGAAGGACAATGTAGGAATCCTCCTTAGGATTTCCAAGATGGCAAACCATTACAGGGGCATCTAAAGTCTGTTGTTTTTTCTCACGGATCAGCCGGTGAGCACCACAATGAGCTCTGTGCATATGGTCTCATTCGAATGTCCCCATTTCACTGATGAGGAAATAGCCCCTCAGAGTTTAAAGGAGTTGCCCTAGATCACAACATTAGAGACAGGCCTAATGAACCTTGCGGTTAGCAACGCCGATGCTTAATCAGTGCACTACCAAGGCTCTTTTCATGCACATTTCTGGTTGTCAAAGTCTAGCATGCATCAGAATTACCTGGTGGTCAAGTTTCAAAGCCCTGCACCCACCATTTCTGGTTTAGTAGGTCTAGTGTGGGGCCTGTGGAGCCCTGGTGATGTAGCGGTTATGCATTGGGCTGTGAACTGCGTGGTTGGCAGTTCTAAACTACCAGCTGCTCCGAAAAAGAATGACTGGGCTTTCTACTCCTGTAAGCAGTTCTAGACTCGGAAACCCACAGGAGTTGCTATGAGACAGCATTGACTCGATGGCAGTGAGTATGGGGCCTGGGATCCCTGGTGGCGTAGGGGTTACTCATTGTGTTGCTAACTGCAAGGGCAGCACTTCAAAACCGCCAGCTGCTCTGTGGGAGAAACACTAGACTTTCTACTCTTGTAAAGAGTTACAGTCTTGGAAACCCACCAGGGCAGTTCTACCCTGTCCTATAGGGGCCTTATGAGTCAGAATCAACTTGATGACAAAGAATGTAGGGCCTGACGTTTGCATGTTTAAAAATTTGCAGGCTGTGTTGAAGCTGTTTGTCTAGGATCAACTCGTGAAACAATGATTTAAAACAATAAGATTTGGTGTCAGAGCTGCACGCGTTAGACCCGTGGTCTGCCTTTCATTGGCTGTATCACCTGGACAGGTCACCTCGCCCTGCCCAGCTTGAGTGTTTTCCTTGGTAAAGTGGAGCAAGCCAGGAGCAGCCTCTCAGAGTTGCAGGCAGATGCCATGGCACTGTATTTAAACAGCATTTGGATTGGTCCCTGAGAATGGGTGGCCACCAATATCCTGACAACTGACAACCGATAAGGAGCAGGAGGTCGGATTGAAGTGAGCCAGTAGGTTTCCAATTTCTGACCGGAAAAGGAAAGCGAACTCTCTCCTGGAGACTCAGGGACAGAAGACAGGTGAGGGTGACCTCTCCACCCCACCTCTTCCCATCATGCCCCCTTCTCTCTGCAGAAGATCTGCCAGAGGTGCTATAGAGGCAGCCTGGTCTCCATCCACAGCTCCAGCTTCAACTCCCAGGTCCAGTGTGTGGCCAGTGGGATCAACCAGTGCCAGGTGTGGATTGGAGCCATCAAGAGAGCCTGCGTAAGTGAGGGGCCAAGTCCTGTGTCCCAGAGTGTTTTTTGAACGACTGTGGGAACCCGTGCTGTTGCCACGTCTCAGACCAGCTGCGGGTGCATCTTGAGAGCAGCAGGCAGAGATGGGCTGGGGCTGCTTTCTACTGGCTTGGGGACCATGTGCATCTCTTCCCAACTCCATGTTCAGTGACATCATGCTTGTAGTTTGGAATCCACCGTGGTGGGAATATTTACACCAAAGAAATGGGTGGTTGCCACGAGTCAACATCCCACGCTCCCCATTTCCTGCCTTCTTACCTTCCTAGAGAGTTGGTTGGGAAACATTTACCAATAGACCACTGGAGATCAGAGCCTCACTTTTCTCATCTCTTAAATGGGTGCTTTCTCTCAGAACATCCCAGCTGAATATCGTGGCTGAACAAGATCTCTTTCCCTTTATTGTTCTACATTCTACCAAGAAAGCAGACGTAGCAGTGATCACCTGGGACTTTGCTAGAAGGGCAGGATCTTGGGCTCCACTCCAGATCGCCTGAGTCAGAATCTGCTTTCTAATAAGATCTCCGGTAAATGCGCTCACTCAGTAAAGTTGAAGATGCCGACACTGTGGGGTGATTGGGTACACTGACTGCCTTTCATTGTCTTAACCCATGAGCCCTCAGGGATAGGACTCTAGAGGATCTGTTCCGAGTGAAAAGGGCCAACAGTGACCACTTCTGGATCTGCTTGTCTTTTCCCATCTCTGTCCTCTGATCCCACGCTTTCAACTCTCTAGCATAATAGGTTTCGCTGGACTGATAGGAGCTGCTGGGATTATTCAAACTGGGCACCAGGACAGCCACAGTGTGGGCAAGGTAGATGCGTGGCCTTAAGTATTAAAGGTGAGTTACTATGGTCACCGGGTGTGTGTGTGTGTGTGTGTGTGTGTGTGTAGGACTGTCCTTTTGAGGTGCCTGGACACCCCTTCTCCAAACTCACACCATCGTCCTATCTGGAAGACCAAACAGTTACTTGGGGGGGGGGGGGAGCCTGAGATGGAGGAAGTCCTCACTCAAATGTGGGTGATGAGTGCATCCCTGGAGCATTGTGCAGGGGCTGCCCATCCCCCTGGGCAGGTCTGGGTCCTCCTCTGATATGATGGTGACATTGTGAGGGACTGATGTGACAGATGGGATCACATAAGATGTGATGGGGACACCAAGGAGAGATGTGGGTGGCTGACAGATAAGGTGCCAGCTGTGAACAGATATGGGCAATAGTAGGGGTGTCCAATGTGGGGGACTTTGGCAGTGTGGCTAAGACCCTCTGTGCTGGAGTAAGACACAGACAAGTCACCTCCACGGAGCCTCAGTTTCCTCCTCTGTGTTATGGGCATGAAGGCAGTGGGGAGTCACGTGACAGCACTTAGGGCCCTGCCTGCCTCCTGGAACCCTTAGCTGGTCAGGGGCCTGTGGGACACGATCGGGTGAGAGGTAATGATGATGGCAGGGGGAGGGGGTAGAGGAGGGGCCTGAGCAGGGAAGAAAGGGGAGGGGCCCTCACATATTGGCAACTGACAAACTGTCCCCTCCTGCTAGGGGGCAAATGGCAACGAACTCCATGCGGAAAATGCCTGCCCTTCGTCTGCTCCAAGTAAGCCAGGGGCGCTGAGACCCTCTCGCGGAGCCCCCTCCCTTCACACACTCCCGGCTGGACCTGACCCACCCTGGGCTCTGGCTCCTCCCCCTGCTCTTCCTGGTAATAAATCCAGACTTCTCACAGCGCGCACTGGCTCTGTGTCTTCAATTTTCCCGCGGTGAGGAGACCCTGTGAGCATGCGCTCCCCAGGGTTGGGCACTGAGAGCATGGCAATGAGGGAGGCTGGCCCCCGAGAGGGCGGGGGCTGCAGGGCCGTGCCTCGGCAGCGCCACCTGGAGGGGGTCCCGTGGAACTGACAGGTGGCCTGTGGAAGTCAGCTGGCCTCCCTGGGTAGCCGTGAGTTAATGACCCCTCTGCTCTGAAGTCAGCAGAGGGGGTGTGGGGGGCGGTGGTATTCCAAAATGTTGGTGATGGAGCTGATTCGTGATCCGGTGGGGCAGTGTGATCTCACCTGGAGACACTACGTGGAAGGGGGAGAAAGGATAGTGTGTTAGGCTCTCCCAGAGATCAAAGCCCCCTGCTTATTTGGAGATGTGTGCCTGGGTCCAATCCTGGGATGGCAGCCATCTCCTCCCAGACTCCCAGTCCATCTCCAAGGCGGGACCATATTCTCAGGGGGAGTGCCTCCCACCCTAGAGCTTTGGGGTGGAGAGGGGCTGGATCTACAGCCTCTCAACTCCCAACCCTTCCCTGACCCCACTTGCTCAGACCCTGAGGACGTTGAAAGAGAAAAAGGTCGCTGTTCTAAACTCCCTTTTGGCGGGTGACAGTCTCCAGGCAGGACGTGGGGTGAGGAAGCAGGAAGGTCAGACCCTCGATGGTGTTCAGAGGGTGATAGCCCAGGGTTGTGGGAGAGAAAGTCTATGTGTGAGGGAGGCTTCTTGGGGATGTCGTTCTTCCTGGGATCCAGGGAGAATGCCCAAGTATTTCTGTGTGTGCACATGAACGAACATGTGTGTATCAGTGTCTGATGTGTTCATATTAGTCCATCTTTGTATACGTGTGGACCCCTGTGTAGATGGAGATCTATACAGAGGTGTGTAAATATACATATAAATGTGAATGAATCTCTGTCAGTGTGCACTTATGCGTTCTACACCTCTAAGTATTTACATCTCAGCTTGTGTGTCTATGAGTGTGTACGTCTGTCAAGCTTTGCACCCTTGTGTGCCTGAATATAAGGGATGTCTGAGGGGCATACACTATTAAGCACTCAAAAGGTTGAGAGGTCAAACCCACCCTGAGGTGCTTCAGAAGACAGACTTGGAACTCTGCTTCTCAAAGGTGATAGCCCTGAATCCCCGAGGAGCAGGGCTACTCTACGCTCAGGGGGCTGGAATGGAATTGATGGCAGTTAATAGCAACATGTAACTGCCATCAGGACAGTGGGTCCTGGCATTGCAGTGACCCTCACCGATGCTGGGGCTTGACAGAGGGGGTTCTGGGAGTCAGCTCCCCACCCAGGTGAACACGTCAATACACCAATTCCTGATGTTTTATTTGCTTCTGAAAACCGCGGACTCTGGCTGGGGGTGGGGTGGGAAGGGAAGCTCTGCACAGGAATCCAGTCAGCTCAGCCCAGTGGTGCAGCATCCTCCCCGGCCACACCAGGGAGAGAGACGGGGATGGGAGCAAACCCACACTCCCTACAAGCTGACATTCGCTTGTAGCAGTAGGAGGAGGTAAGGCAACGGTCTTTCAAATGCCCGAGTCTGTTACTGGGTCTAGAACTCAACATTCTATAGTCATGGCGTGGCCCTTTGAATGTTGAGCAGTCCTTGATTAGAAAGCAGCTGGTGCCTGGAGGAGAAGCTCTGAGAGTGTGACCCGTTCTTACACAAGGAGAGTGACCGGCTACTTTCTGACCACAAACTTTTGTGAAACAGAACATGGAAAGGTGTGTTCGACCTGAGTGTGGACATAAAGCCATTGAAAAGGAAGTCATGAAGAAAAGACCGGGCTGTGTTCACCATTTTCTCAAACACTCTATTTCCCAGTGTCCCTTGCAGTACAGTTGGGCTCTGTATCATCCAACTACATTGTGGCCATTAGAAAATGGTAGGAAGTGCTGGAAGCCAATCACTGGCCAGGTTTTCAAAGGATCTCCCATGCCCCTCCAGTCCTCAGTTTCTCTGCAGTGACTCCTCTAGGCGCCCATATGTCTCAGAAGGCATCACTACTGATAGAGAGGACTATATGGCCTACTTTGTCCATGAATCCTTGAGATGGAGTTTACTGCATCTTTACTTGCTACATTGTCTTGTTATATGCTGCCATGTAGTTATATGTGTATTGGACCTGTACTGTAAATACATCCAACTCATAGCTGCCCTGTAGGACAAAGCAGAACTGCCCCTCTGGGCTTCTGAGACTGCAACTCTATGAAAGTAGAAAGCCTCATCTTTCTCCTCAGCAGCAAGTGGTGGTTTTGAACTGCCAACCATATGGTTATAGCCCAAGACATAACCCACTACACTACCAGGGCTTGCGACGAGTGGGAATCAACTTGCTGGCCATGAGTTTGGAATTCCTGTAAATAAATCCAGGAACGGGGTGCAGCATGCAGGGGCTTAAAGCTTGGAAAACTTGAGGTGGCGTTTAGTTGTTAGTGCAGTGAGGACCAGGGCATGGGGAACCTCTTTCATTTGAGGTTCCTAACTTGCCAACCAAGCCTCCTCCCTCTCTTCTTCTGTCAAATGAGGGTTGAATTAGACAGCGGCTGCAATGTGGCGAGCCTGGCGCTTGGTGAACTCTGTAAATGTCAGCGTCACACCGAGGGACGGCAGGAGCTGTGGGGTGTGAGGAAAGGGCGGGAGTTCCAGTTCCAATTTCCATCAAACAGGATCAGTAGCGGAGAACAGCAGCCTCACCAGGGCGAGGAGTGTGATTGCTTTGCTCACTGTGCCCGTCCAGTTCACCACAGATGCACAGAGACAAGGTAGCTGTTGTTATGACACCAACTAGCCCCAGCCCCAGCACCCAGAAATGGTGCGTGAGTTCCAACACAGGCAAGACGCCTGGCACGGACTGGCCCACGAGCGCACACACTTGCCGCAGAGTGAGGAGAGTGCACACGCTTGCTCTCTGGTGCCCTGAGAGCGTGAGGCTGGAGGACAGGTAAGGTTCAGGGGGAAAGGATTTCTCCAGGACACTGGATCCCCTCTCCTGTGAGCAGTCCTGAGATCTGGACTCATCAGGGACATCCGGGGTGGGAGGAGCGGGCTCCTGTTTTAGGACCACGATGCTGTTGTGTCTGATGCCTTAGCTGGACAAAGCGAGTCTGGAGGTCTGACCGAGGTAGACCCTGGGGCGATGCTGTGCCCCCACCCCGGGGATGGGGCTCTGGGTGGAGGGAAGGAGGACTGATGGACAGTATGTGGAGGTCTCACCCCTTCTCCCCTTCAGTGGGGATCATTGGGGTCAGATCTGCGTGAGGGCCCACCTGCCGTCTCCTTCTTCCATTCCCTTGTACCCTCCACGAGGGGTCTGCTCTCCATCTGTGGGGCAGATGGCCATGCTCTGGCCTCCTGCCCTGAGAGGGAGGACCACTGGGGTCTCTTTTGGTTCCTAGCTATGTGACACTGACAAGTAGCTTCCCTGTCTCCGCCCTCAGTTTGCTCTTCTGTCAACAAGAGGGTTGGTCGAGGTTTTTGTGGCTTGTGAGCTTTTAACATTATCAGACGGCCACCTTGTGAGGCTTCTGTGGACCTTCAGTTTTGTCCTGAAGCTGGACCCTCCAGTGAGAGATGGGACCCCGCACTGCTATCTAACCATCGCCCTAAGATGGAGTCTGAGCTCTGGGGCAAAGCATGGAGCTACTCTTCCTGAGGCTGGCCGTGGCTGTGGCCGTGGTGGCCTTGGCCACAGTCAGGGTGGACTTGGTCCCAGTCGGAGTGGATGATGCTGAAGCAGCAGAGGTAGATGCTGGGAGCTCATCCTTTCCTCTGGGGTTGGGTCGGGGTGACAATGTCAGATAGACCTGGATTCCTATCCCAGCTCTCATGTTTCCTGGCTGTGTGGTGTCGGGCAAATCGCTCCGTCTCTCTGAGCCTTGGTTTATCTTTAAAAACCGGGGAACAAACATCTACCTGGCAGGGTTATTCTAAGGATGAAAGGAGATAGGGTGCCTGAATGCACCTAGCCTGGGTACGCCCTGAGGCCACTCACTACTGCTATGGTTAGCTCATGACGTCTCTATGCTTTAGAACGGGGACAGCCCAGGTGTGGCTGCACTGGGGACCTGGGAAGCAGGGAGGGAGCAAGCAAGGCAGGGAGAGGAACCTGTCTGCCATAGCACTGGGAGGCTCAGACACCTGGGCCCTGGCAGGTTCCCTGCTGGGAGCCCTGGAGCCCAAGGGTGAACATGGGGCCTGGGGAAAGCGCACTAGTGGCCAATGGAGTAGGCCCCTGAGTCTGTGGACTGCTTCTCCTCCGGGGTCTGGTCGCTGGGGTACACGGGGTTCGAGGATGCTGCGACCTTCAGTGTTGTCTCATTCACCTACGGCAGAAGGTGAGCGTTCTCAGCTCTCTGGGCAGGGTCCTCCCATCGCACGTCATGGCGGGGAGGCCCCTGCGTGTGCAGAGTGGGGCTAGAGCAGGTTGTGTGCTCTTGAGACCCTCCACCCACCTCGAGGGGACACAGAAGCCTAGTAGGTCAACCCCCAGTAGGATGTGCCCTGGGCCAGAAATGGAGACAAGATGAGGCGCCAGTGGGGATGTGGGCAGTGGTGGTCCACAGAGACCCCAAGTGTCTCTGAATATCCCAATTTGGGCCAAACCACTTCTCGGGACCCCGAATACACATTGAGATCCAATGAACTTCCTTTCAAAACCGAGGGCCTGCGGGGCCAGCACCCTCGTGGCCCTGGCCCCTGCCGCCAGAGAGCTCACCTCTTCGAACTTCTTGGCTTTGTATTGGTCAGCCCCCTTGAGGAAGTTGAGCAGGATGATGTCACAGAGGACAGTCCCCTGGAGGAGGGAGGCAGTTAGACTCTGCCCGATGCTGGGGGGGCGTTGCAAGGAAGGGGTGGTGGCAGAAGGCTTCCCTAACAGCCAGCAAGCAGACAAGGGTCTGGGGAAATCCTGATGGTGCCTTCAAGGCCTGCCGTCTCAGCTGCGGGGGTGACCAGACCACGATGTGGAGGGGTGCATGGAAGCAGGATCCCTGGAGATATGAGCCATGTCCCCACCTCGTCAGCAGGGCACTGTTTCTTGCCTCGGTTGCTCTGGAAGGTAATGAGCTCCTCATGGCTGGAGGTATTCAAGCCAGGGCCAAAGTAGCAGGGGGGTGGTGGAGACCAAAGCACCAGGGGTTGGGACTTCCACTTTCCAGGCAGAAGGCAGGACATCGCTCACCCTGCCCCCTAAACATCTGTGCCAGCTGGGCCCCACTGCACTCACCACTCCAACAGAGGTAAAGGCAGCCACAGCGCTGATGATGGTGGGGATGATGTTGAACTTGCCCGCCTATGTGCACAAGTGAAGACCAAGGTGAGGGCCAGAGGCTGGCCCAGGACTCCCAGCTTGAGCCTCCAGAGTAGGAGGAGCTCTTGGTGGGTGGGCAGGCCTTCTTGGTGGTACAGGTGAGGAGGTGGGAGATGGGGCAGCCAAGGGCCTGAAAACGCAGCAGTGGCAGGACTCGGGGCTCCTCGGGGCTCAGGCTGGGAGCCTCTCACCCCCCACCACCCACCGCGCTTGCGCAGCCCCCCGCACTCACGTTGCCGTACACCAGCACGTCGAATCGGATGCCAAAAGCCTTCAGGAGCGTGCGGTACTCTTGGCCGTTCTCCGTCTTGAAGTACTTGGCAAACCTGGAAACCAGAAACCGGAGCAACAGGCTGGGGCCGCCTGTCTTTGTCCTGAACCTTCATGGTGTGCTAGAGCCCTGGGCAGGATCCCTGGTGGCACAGCAGGCTAAGCACGGGGCTGCTAACTGCAAAGCCGGCGGTTGGAAGCCACCTGCTGCTGTGGGGTAGGCAGAGAGGGGCACCCTGCTTCCGTCAAGATGTAACCACCTCAGAGATTTAACGATGGTGCGCACAGGGGACTGCAATGGACGCATTTACTCAGAATGGGTATGACTTGTCGAAGATCTGCCCTGCAGACCTTGGATGGAAAAGAAACTAGCTGCACAGCCGGGGGTTGCTCTGAGTCGGAATGGGCTCTGTGATCCTCAGGTACCCAGCACCCCTGGTGGATGGCTCCCATGGCCCCTGTGTGATCAGCTGATCCCTGCATGGATCGCATTCAAAAGGTCGATTTACAGGCCCTTCGCCTGCACCTCTGGCCTGACCCCTGGAACCTGCCTGTTCAATCGTCTCCCCCAAGTGGTCCAGAAGTGTACTACAGTTAGAACAAGTGCTGGTTCCAAGCTTCATCATCTCTGCCAGTCTGGATGCCCCAGGCTCTACCACGGCAGGGCCCCAGGCTCCCGGCCCCATGGGTTCGATTCCTGGCTCTGCTGCTTACCAGTTGTGTCACCCGAGGCCAATATTAACCTCTAGGGCGTTCATATGTGGCCGGCATTAACCTCTCTTGAGAAGGACGTCAGAGCCTGCAATGGGACTTAACTGCAAAGCGCATCCGTCGGGACTGAGCCTGGTGCTTGGAACACAATAGCGGCTCTCGGCTGCTGTTATCGCTGCGGGGCATGCTTGTGGTGATAGCCCCACAAGTCACAAAAGAACTGTTGGTTGAAGCTGCGTTTTCGGAAGTGGATGGCAGGGCCTTCTTGAGAGGTGTCTCTGGGTAGACGGGACCTTCTCACATTTTTGTCGTAGTCTTTTCCAGCGTCTTAACCATGTGCACCCCCTGGGGACTTTCAGACCCCTCTCCTCCCTTCACCATGTCATCAGCCTGCATTTCTGCCGAGGCTCCAAGGGCGTGCAGTGACTCATCTCCGCTCACCCAACTGGCTGGGACTCAAAGTTAGATTTGTCCAAGGCCCAGGCTGGTGCCTCCCTGCATTCCCTGCCTCTGCTGCTGGGGCCAGGCACTGTGCTGGGCTCGCAGGAGAACTGTCACTTCCAGTTCGAACCCTCATGTGGCTGCACCTACTCCTGTTTTGCAGAGGCCTCTGGTTCCAGTTAGCCAGTGCTGGACCAAGGCTGTAAATTGTTTCAGTTTTTGGAGCCCTAGTCACAGAGTGAGTTAGGCATTGGGCTGCTAAATGAAAGGTCAGCAGTTCAAAACCACCAACCTCTCCACGGGAGATAGAGGAGACTTTCTACTCCTATAAAGAATTATATTCTTGGACACCTACTTGGCAGTACTACTCTGTCCTACAGGGTCTCTATGAGTTGGGATCGATTTGATGGCAGTGAGTTGGCTTGGGGCACCCCCTCCATGGTAGTGAGGAAGAAAGGCCTGGAGGTTTGCTTCCACCATGACGGCGGTCAAGAAAAGTTCTCTGGAGCCTCCAGTCCTGCTCCGTAACTAATTCCTGGGGTCCCACGGGGGTGGAACCAACTCAACCGTGATGGTTTCATTTGGGTTTGAGCTTCGGACCGTTGGCACCGCCC